CACCATTTTGCACAACCAGGCCACACAGTGGGAGATCTCAATGTTTTAGTACTTAAAGGAAATTTCAAATCTATTCAGGAAAGAAAAACGTTTGAACTAAGAATGATAATTCTATTGGACACAAGAGATAAGGGCCTTAGACATGGGATTCCTCAATCATTATCCGACATTTTTATGACTATTATCTGTAGCTTGACTCCCTCTGTGTGAATGTAGTATCCCCCCCCTCCCCCCTCGCTTTGACTGCATCTTATCTCTAGCCTCCTTTTTTTTTCTCTTTTATCTCTTCTAACATTCTGCTAACTTTGTGAGTAGTACTGCTTAGACCTTGAAGAAGGGGACATTCCCCGAAAGCTTGTCCTCAAAATTGTATGTTAGTGCAAATAAAAAAAGTATCACGGACAGTACTCAATTGTTAATTGATGAAAAACTATTAACACTTCTATTTTTGAAAGCATTCTATATTTTTTACAGCATTTTTTCACACCTGTCTAAAACTTTTGCACAGTAGTGTATATCACCCCCTTTCCTATTTCGCTACCATTTGGTCACTTCAGTACTGCTGCACTGAGACTTGTGTGTCATTGCTTTTAAGAGGAAGTTACAGTAAGACTTTGTTTGCAACACATTCACTATTATGCATCACAACTCACGATTTAATTGTACACCTTAAGTTTCTTGCACTTTTCTATATTCCAAAGTTTCTTGGGCCTCTGTATTTATGAGAAAAGCATGGTGTGGAGGAATGTGAATTTTACATGCAAGAGATCTGGCTAGGGCTCAAAGCTGCCAAATAATTTCTAAACAGAATTTTTTCTGACCAACAGAATGCCCCTAGAAAATAAAAATGGTACATTCGAGCACTACTAGATTCCTGCCTTTTAGGTCAGCTTCAAAATGTTACACAATTAGTAAACTTTTAATGGTATTAGCAAATGATCTGAAAAATACACTTACCTATTTTGGGGAAATAATGCACAGCAAAGTGGTGTCGCAAATACCAAGCTGAAAAAAAGTAAAACATATTTATTAAAATTAGAAAAAAAATATATTCTTTAAAGTTTAGTTTCAATATTAAATTACAAAAATATGCCTGCAATACATTAAACATATATTTTGTAAGGTATATCCATAGCAGTAAAGTTTTCTTCAAATACATCAGGACTGATGACACTAGGCAAAAAAAAAAAAAAAAAATCTTATATCCTTGTTTTTGCATCATCTTTATAGATTTCTTTCCTCAGTGTCGACGGGCCTTGCACCTGTCCCTGCATACCTGATAAACTTGGCTGTGTGTGTTAGCCAGTACTTACAGGTGAAACTTGAAAAATTAGAATATTGTGCAAAAGTTCACTATTTCAGTAATGCAACTTAAAAGGTGAAACTAATATATGAGATAGACTCATTACATGCAAAGCAAGATAGTTCAAGCTGTGATTTGTCATAATTGTGATGATTATGGCTTACAGCTCATGAAAACCCCAAAACCACTATCTCAGAAAATTAGAATTATACATGCAATCAATAAAACAAGGATTGTACATAAAACAATATCGGACCTCTGAAAAGTATAAGCATGCATATGTACTCAGTACTTGGTTTGGGCCCCTTTTGCAGCAATTACTGCCTCAATGCGGCGTGACATGGAAGCTATCAGCCTGTGGCACTGCTGAGGTGTTATGGAAGACCAGGATGCTTCAATAGCGGCCTTCAGCTCTTCTTCATTGTTTGGTCTCATGTCTCTGATCTTTCTCTTGGCAATGCCCCATAGATTCTCTATGGGGTTCAGGTCAGGCGAGTTTGTTTGCCAATCAAGCACAGTAATCCCACAGTCATTGAACCGGGTTTTGGTGCTTTTGGCAGTGTGGGCAGATGCCAAGTCCTGCTGGAAAATTAAGTCAGCATCCACATAAAGCTCGTCTGCGGAAGGAAGCATAAAGTGCTCCAAAATCTCCTGGTAGACGGCTGCGTTGATTCTAGACTTAATGAAGCACAGTGGACCAACACCAGCAGATGACATGGCTCCCCAAATCAACACAGACTGTGGAAACTTCACACTGGACTTCAAGCATCAGTGTGTGCCTCTCCATTCTTCCTCCATACTCTGGGTCCTTGGTTTCCAAATAAGATGCAAAAGTTGCTCTCATCAGAAAAGATGACTTTTGGACCACTGAGCAACAGACCAGGTCTGTTTTTCTTTAGCCCAGGTAAGATGCTTCTGACATAGTTTGTTGTTCAGGAGTGGCTTGACAAGAGGAATATGACATTTGAAGCCCATGTCCAGGATCTGTCTGTGTGTGGTGGCTCTTGATGCACTGACTCCAGCCTCAGTCCACTCCTTGTGAAAGTCGCCAACACTTTTGAATGGCCTTTTCCTGACAATCCTCTCCAGGCTCCGGTTATACCTGCTGCTTGTGCACCTTTTTCTACCACACTTTTCCCTTGAACATAACTTTCTATTAAAGTGCTTTGATACAGCACTTTGGGAACATCCAACTTCTTTTGCAATTACCTTTTGAGGCTTTCCCTCCTTATGGAGGGTGTCAATGATGTTTTTCTGCACAAATGTCAGGTCAGCAGTCTTTCCCATGATTGTGATTCCTACTGAACCAGACAGAGACCATTTAAAGGCTCAGGAACCCTTTGCAGGTGTTATGCTTAATTAGCTGATTAGAGTGGGACACTTTGAGCCTAGAATATTGCACCTTTTCACAATATTCTAATTTTCTGAGATTGTGGATTTGGGGTTTTCATGAGCTGTAAGCCATAATCATCACAATTATGACAAATCACAGCTTGAACTATCTTGCTTTGCATGTAATGAGTCTATCTCATATATTAGTTTCACCTTTTAAGTTGCATTACTAAAATAAATTAACTTTTGCACAATATTCAAATTTTTCGAGTTTCGCCTTTTGTGCTACATGCTAGCGCAAAATGATAAACAAATGGCTTGGCATCCCATATGCCAAGTCCGACCTGGTGGGGATCTGTAGCAGTTTTGAATACATTATTTATTTATTTTTTCATTCTCAAAAGAAACTGCCATAGGTAGGGCAGATAGAGCTGAAATAGGTTTATCTGCTTAGGTAATTTTGTGCATGCCACAGACACCTTTGTTAATTCCCTGAAATGTGTATGGCCTGCCATATTTTTGCGACCAAATGTTCTAGGTCTCCATTCTATTTTTCTTAACTTTATCTAAAGAAAGTTAAATGATCCCATCTTCAGAGAAACATGGAGGCTACCACTGCCGACTTATCCTTTCAAAAATTCTAAAGACCTGGCTGTTGTACTGACCCATTTCTTTATAAACTTTTAGACAATGACAGGAAAAAAGCGCACAGATAAAAATTCAGTAATGGCAGTCCCATAATTATTTGCTTCTAGCTTAAAAGAGAAGTATGGGATTTTTTTTTTTAAATCATACTTACCTAGGTGGATGCAGCATCGAATCGATTCTGCATCTGTTCCCTGCCAGCTCTAAGGTCGAAAACTGACTGATCAAACACCGGTGATCACTCAGTGCTCCCTGCCGCTCTGAGCAGAGAGCGGTGACTATCAGTCACCACTCCCTGCTGGGCCCCTTCAGCGCTCCCTGGAGTGCTGCACTGTGGAGAGGGCAGGAGCGGCTCACTAAGAGGCTGAGCCAGGTGATGGTCCAGGCTCCTGGGTGGAGCCTGACCATATGGTCGAGACCTTTCCCCAGCCTAGACCAGCTCTGTGACGTCCGCGTGCTTCAGCCCGCTGTTAGCTGCAAAAGGGTCACAGGAGTGCTGAAATAGCTGCACTACTGTGATAAGCTTTGGCTATACTTCTCTTTCAAGAGTATACTTTTTATGCATTTTTTTTTTCATATTGGTTTCATATATCTTTATTGCTAGGGATACACCGTAATTTAGGCCACTGAAATGTATCGGCCGAAAATTTTAGCCAATACAGGGGACTGTGTGTACTGCAGAGGTGAGGGGGGCGGCGGCGGAGAAAGGCAGGAGAGGAGTAGTGTATGCAGTGACTGCCTGTCACTATATGTCAGTGCCAGTTTTTAAATGCAATTGCCGGGTTTTTTTTTTCCTTCACTATAGCTCAGAGAATCAGCTGTCACTTTCCTGGAGCTAAATGAAACAAAGTTTCTTTTTCATTTCTTTCCCGAGCTAAAAGAAACAGGATTTCATTCATTCTCTGAGATATGGTTAAAAGAAAAAAAAAAAAAAAAAAAAAAAAGAGGTCGCAATTGCATTTAAAAACCGGCACTAACATATAGTGACAGCCAGTGAGGGAGCCTCTCTGTATACACTGCTATCTCACTGTATACACTGCTCCTCTTCTGCCCCCTCCTTGCACACACTGCCCCCCCTCTCCCCTACAAAGATGGCCTCTCACTCATATGCTATCACATAGGGGACTATTGGTCCCCTATGTGATAGCAATAAAACCATAAGTTCAAAAAAATAAAATAAAAATATACATGAAAGTAGAAAACAATACAAAAACTAAATTGGAGTCTCCCCACCCCCACATTTTGGTTTCGGTTTTCGGCCACATGCATTCGGAATTTTTGGTATCGGTTTTGGCACCAGAATTTTCATTTCGGTGCACCACTATTTATTGCTCTTCACTTTTTTGTTTTGCTTACTTGCAACTAACACTTTGCAAGTGGTGTTTTAGTAATTGACTATTCTAATAAAGTTGGCTGAAAAAAAAAAAAAAAAAATTAAATTGTGAGCTGACGTGTTTACTTCTGCTTTAAGATAATCAGTGTTTGGTGGAATGAACTGTAAATTGCTTTGGTCAGTAAACACGTTTATAAAGAGTATAATGTTTGAGAAAATGGATCATGTGTGAGGGCAATAAAATATTATGCTGATTTTATTAATTTATTTGCAGAAGGCAAAGATATCACTAATAATCACAGTATTAAATGCAGAAAATAGATATTTTTACAAAGTACAACTATGCTTATTGGTATCTCAGATATTATTAAAAAAATTCAGCACTTCTTACCAGAATCCCACTAATCCTACTTGTATAGGGGCACTCATCCATGGAAATCGCTAAAATGGAAAACAGAATTGTATGAAAATTAAGCAAAACGAGTCAGATGGTATTACATTATACACAGCAGAATTTTCACATTACCTTAAGGAATGCTTTCTTTTCCAAAGTGTTCATTATAAATGGAGGAATGGCTGTAAATATAGCATATAACTTATGTTAGCAGATGATAATGCTGCAATTCCCTTGAATTATTTCCATGGGCTTTAAATTCATCTTGAGCAAGTATAGTTTTAATGTTGCGCATATGTCTGATGAGCAGTAAATGGAGGGTAATACATAAGGCATATTAGGGTATAAAAATAAGGCTTCACCCCTCAGATTGCTGAAACGCTCATATAAAAACAAACCAGCCAGTCTGCTAATCTCAGAGCATTCTGCTGATTTACTTGAGAGTCAGCCATTCTGAATTGCAGAGACGAGTCAGCAAGACTCAACAAATCAAGTGGCCTGGTCTCTTCTTGACACTAAAGATGCTCCAATTTGGATCAGCTACACATGGCTAAATTTATCTAACATTCATTGTAAATTAATGTTTTTTTTTACTAAAACTACCACTTTCAGTCTGCAAACTTACTAGACTACCAATTTACACAGTGCAGTATAATTCCCAAGATGTATACAGTAACTATACTATTATGGGACACAAATAAATGAGGATGAAGAAAATAGGCGTTTTGGCTTACCTGTAAATTCCTTATCTTGGAGTACAGTACAAGAGACAGGACTAGTATTCATAGACCAGTATCTCACAGAAGTGAGTACGCCCCTCACATTTTTGTAAATATTTTATTCTATCTTTTCATGTGACAACACTGAAGAAATGACACTTTGCTACAATGTAAAGTAGTGAGTGTACAGCTTGTATAACAGTGTAAATTTGCTGTCCCCTCAAAATAACTCAACACACAGTCATCAATGTCTAAACCGCTGGCAACAAAAGTGAGTACACCCCTAAGTGAAAATGTACAAATTGGGCTTAATTAGCCATTTTCCCTCCCCAGTGTCATGTGACTCGATAGTGTTACAATGTCTCAGGTGTGAATGGGGAGCAGGTGTGTTAAATTTGGTGTTATCGCTCTCACTCTCTCATACTGGTCACTGGAAGTTCAGCATGGCACCTCATGGCAAAGAACTCTCTGAGGATCTGAAAAAAAGAATTGTTGCTCTACATAAAGATGGCCTAGGCTATAAGAAGATTGCCAAAACCCTGAAACTGAGCTGCAGCATGGTGGCCAAGACCATACAGCAGTATAACAGGACAGGTTCCACTCAGAACAGGCCTCATCATTGTTGACCAAAGGAGTTGAGTGCACGTGCTCAGCGTCATATCCAGAGGTTGTCTTTGGGAAATAGATGTATGAGTGTTGCCAGCATTGCTGAAGAAGTTGAAGGGGTGGGGGTCGGCCTGTCAGTGCTTAGACCACATGCCGCACACTGCATCAAATTTGTCTGCATGGCTGTCGTCCCAGAAGAAAGCCTCTTCAAAAGATGATGCACAAGAAAGCCCACAAACAGTTTGCTGAAGACAAGCAGACTAAGGACGTGGATTACTGGAACCATGATCTGATGAGACCAAGATAAACTTATTTGGTTCAGATGGTGTCAAGCGTGTGTCGCGGCAACCAGGTGAGGAGTACAAAGACAAGTGTGTCTGGCCTACAGTCAAGCATGGTGGTGGGAGTGTCATGGTCTGGGGCTGCATGAGTGCTGACTGGGGAGCTACAGTTCATTGAGGGAATGCCAACATGTACTGTGACATACTGAAGCAGAGCATGATCCCCTTCCTTCGGAGACTGGGCTGCAGGGCAGTATTCCAACATAACGACCCCAAACACACCTTCAAGACAGCTACTGCCTTGCTAAAGAAGCTCAGGGTAAAGGTGATGGACTGGCCAAGCATGTCTCCAGACCTAAACCCTATTGAGCATCTGTGGGGCATCCTCAAATGGAAGGTGGAGGAGCACAAGGTCTCTAACATCCACCAGCTCGGTGATGTCGTCATGGAGGAGTCGAAGAGGACTTCAGTGGCAACCTGTGAAGCTATGGTGAACTCCATGCCCAAGAGGCTTAAGGCAGTGCTAGAAAATAATTGTAGCCACACAAAATAATGACACTTTGGGCCCAATTTGGACATTTTCACTTAGGGGTGTACTCACTTTTGTTGCCAGCGGTTTAGATATTAATGGCTGTGTGAGTTATTTTGAAGGGACAGAAAATTTACACTGTTATACAAGCTGTACACTCACTACTTTACATTGTAGCAAAGTGTCATTTCTTCAGTGTTGCCACTTGAAAAGATATAAATATTTACAAAAATGTGAGGGGTGTACTCACTTCTGTGAGATACTGTATATGCTGCTACCTTCAGGTAAATGGAAACAAACTTTTGCTAGAGCTGCCCCATATACTTCTACAACCCTGCCCACTTTGTGAGGTGCCATTTTTTTTTAGTAAGCAATAGGGAGCAATCAAAACACAGACTTGTACTGTACTCCAAGATAAGGATTTACAGGTAACTCCAAATTCTTAGTATCTTAACCTCCCTGGCGGTCTGATTATGTAAATATTTTTTAATGTCAAAGCGGTATATTGTTTTGCATGGAAATTTGTTGTTTTATATTGCTAGCCTGTAATTCTTAGGAATAATTCACTTAAATCTGTCCAAACAAGAGTCTAGTAAACATCGCAGGTATGATCAAGTTTGAAACACGAAATCATAAATTATAATATAATAAATAATTATAAAAAAAAAAAATAATAATAATAATAAATTTAATTCAAGTGTCATCTTTGGTCACTGGTTTCTGCTTCTTGGAAACTTCTGATGCAGAGTAGCCAATTATTGCTCTTGGTACCAGTTTGTCTCGGTAACTATTTTTTCAATAACCTAATCGGTCAGAAATAATTGTAAGTATGCCAAGGGGTTGTCCTGTTCATTATCTACTTTCATACCAGATGCTCCAGTAAATGGGAATCTTGGTGGCGCTGCCTGATCCGTACCACAGTCAATAGAGCACATCACTGAGCACAGTCGCAGAATCGTCGCTGTTGTCACTTTCAGTGTCTGATGACAAATTTCCCCACGAGTCACTATTGCTCAATTCTGCAAGGGATTCTACTTTCACTATCGCTGTTTTCTAGGTAGTCTAAAACCACTTTTGACCTAAAAGGGACGCTTTTTGGATGCCATGGACGTTAAGTTTCCAGGCAGAAAAAACTGTAAAAGTGCAGGCAGGGCACTGGACAAAGCACTAGAGACAAAACGGAGGTAAAATGGTTTGATACAGTAATGTAATCCAAACAGATTACAATGTATTGTGTGTATGTCATGTTTTTATTTTTTTTTGTTTATTTTAATCACCAGCCGGTTCTACCCCCGTGTCGCAGCGCTCGCAGGGAAGGGAACCCGGATGCCAGCATCGACCGGAGGACACAGTGGGAGGACAATTGGGCGATCACAGGGATAAGGTAAATTACACTACAGTGTAATCCCGAGTATGGCTCGGGGTTACCACTTTTGGTACTGAAAATTAACCCCGAACCACACTCGGGATTACCGCCAGGGAGGTTAATGAATGAGCTCTGATGGGAAAGGAAGGAACCAGTATCATAAAGGAGTAGGAGTAGCCCTGGAAATTATTTTTCTGATCCACCTGACAATGGTGGAACAGGAGGTAGGGTATCCTTTACGAGGACCTATGGGCAAGACAAAGAGGACAAGAGAATAGAGACTGTAGCTTTTTGGTATGCCTAGACAGCCCTGACTATATTCAGGCAATATAGGGCAATTTCCTTGTCATACTTTGGGGCAGGACAGAGGGAAGAGAGGACAATGTACTCACTAATAACATACAAAATATACAGTGCAATACTGTATAATCAAATAATAAATATAATATGTACATGCAAGGAGTTGGAGACTGACACACCACTATACCCGCCCGGATTAAAGGGAAAAGCGAGGTTTCACCTGACGGTTCGGGTCAACCCATAAGGTGAGCGCATAAGTGTGTCGGAGGTGGATATAACACTGGGGGTCACACGAATGCACTGGATGGATATATACAGAGGAGAGATTGCACAATAGCACTTGGAGCACAGAGCCTTAAAGGGACGGTTCACTAAGAATTATTTATTTATATTGGGACACTTAGTATATAAACGAACAGTGGATAGTATATAAATGCACAGTGGATACGATTTGGAAAATGCATGGTCGATATGGCCAGTAATATGAGAGAGAGTGCGTTATTGCTTATATAAGGTGATACGTTTGGAGCACAGATTATGCACTTTATGTTATTTTAGCATCGTCATATAGCAAGTTGCATGTACATATTATATTTATTATTTGATTATACAGTATTGCGCTGCATATTTCGTATATTATTATTTATATGTGGGAACACTATACATGTTAGCTGCAATATTTTTGATTATAGTGAAGTGGATAGGCATATTGCGCTGTAAGTTTTTCACAATATATAATGTACTTACCAAGATGAAAGGAAGAGACCACCCTAGCCAAAAAGTAGGTTTTGGTCTCAAAACTACCTCGTCCTTGTGCAAAAAAGGAAAATGTTCTTAACAAAGGATAGTTGCTAACTCAAATGTGATGTCTTCCAAAGGAATGTCTATAATCGGATCAAAGGGGAGCCTCTGAACAGCAGAGAGCACCAGGTTGAGATACTAAGGTGACACAGATTCTAAAAAGTCCTAACCATTTAGGATGTTGGTTTTAACAGGCAGGACATTAAAGCCTGTGACTGAGAAGCAGGATGAAAAAGGAGGCCTTAGGCCAGTAAACCTGGTCTGTTTGGAAGAGGCTGAGGTTCATCCGCCAGAAGTCTTAGTATATCTGTGTACATTTGTGTATTTTCTCACATCTGTCAAGGGAGGATCTTCATCAGAAGGAAGGGATAAACCAGCTGGAACTGTTGTCCAGGGAATCACCAGAACAGTTACTGCAAAGGCTAGCAGATTCCTAGTCTTGGCTACAAATTTGTTCAGGTTGTTCACCGTCCCTCTCACAAACGTTGCATAAGATTCCAACTGTCAGTACTTTATTCTACTTCCCTCATGAGAATTAATGTATCCAATAACTTTACACGTTGCACTTCTTGCCAAGGTGGGCACCTGAAACTTGACCCAGTGCCAGAAGCAAACATTACAGGTTGGCTGGGTACACAATGAGGGTAACCGATTTTGAATCGGCTAGGTAGCACAGGGCAATCAGATGTCGATAGAAGAGCCACAGAAAAGTAAACAAAAAAAAAAAAAGTACTTTTCCAGAGGAGAACTGGTCCATCAGCTAAGAACAAACTGGAGCCTCTTGGAATGTCCAATCACCTGAAGGTAGCAGCACATAACCCATAGTCTATGAATACCAGTCCTGTATTGTATGATGAAGATACACCTATTTTTAACACTTCGCTTAAAGCTTAATGTTTTAGTTTGTTTCATACAAAGAACTAATTTTGTAAGGTAAAATCAAAAAGCAACAATAAAAAAAAAGGCACACCTAATAAAAATAAGCATGCCAGAATAAATTCCACCAAGTTCTACATTTAAAAAAAAGAAAAAGATATTGATGGAAATGTTAAATAGCCTGCAGTCTATGAAAGAAATGGATTTATTCCACTGTGTACACACCCATGCCAGGAGCAGCCATCAGGATTCTGGAAACGACCACCTGAGTGATGGCTTGTTTAGCAGCATTAGCAGATTCTCCTAGTCTATTTCCATTCTCATCTGTGACTGGTATACCATACTTCAATTCCCTGTAAAACACAATGTACTTCAATTTCCTGTATAAATAAAATGCACACATTGTGTATGCTTTTCATTTTGGGACATGGTTTTTATACAGTTGTGGCCAAAATTATTCAACCCCCACTGAAATTGAGTGTTTTGGCCAGTTTGACATTGCTTTTGATCATTCAGTCATCTTGCTTACATTTACATTAAAGAGGCACTTGTAGGTCAGACAAATATAACATAACAGTTATAATGAAATAACCACAAATGTCTTTTCTGTGCTCACAGCATTATCAGTTTTATTCAACCCCCAAGTGACATTCAATCTTAGTACTTAGTACAGCATCCTTTTACAGTTATAACAGCTTTTAAACGTGAAGCATAGCTTGACACAAGTGTCTTGCAGCGATCTACGGGTATCTTCGCCCATTCTTCATGGGCAAAGGCCTCCAGTTCAGTCACATTCTTAGGCTTGCGCACTGCAACTGCTTTCTTTAAGTCCCACCAGAGGTTCTCAATCGGATTTAAGTCTGGTGACTGCGATGGCCACTCCAAAATGTTCCAGCCTTTCCTCTGCAACCATGCTCTAGTGGACTTGGAGGTATGCTTGGGATCATTGTCCTGTTGAAAAGTCCAACGTCTCCCAAGCCTCAGGTGTGTGACGGACTGCATCACGTTTCCATCCAATATCTCCTGGTACTGAAGAGAATTCATGGTACCTTGCACACGCTGAAGCTTCCCTGTACCTGCAGAAGCAAAACAGCCCCAAAGCATGATTGACCCTCCACCATGCTTCACAGTAGGCAAGGTGTTCTTTTCATCATAGGCCTTGTTCTTCCTCCTCCAAACATAGCGTTGATCCATGGGCCCAAACAGTTCTAATTTTGTTTCATCAGTCCACAGAACACTATCCCACAACTTTTGTGGTTTGTCCACATGGCTTTTGGCATACTGCAGTCGACTCTTCTTATTCTTTGGAGACAGCAAGGGGGTACGCCTGGGAGTTCTGGCACGGAGGCCTTCATTACGCAGTGTGCGTCTTATTGTCTGGGCTGAAACTTCTGTACCCACATCTGACAAATCTTTTCTCAGTTCCTCAGCAGTCACACGGGGACTTCTCTCCACTCTACGCTTCAGGTAGCGCACAGCAGTCGAAGTCAGCATCTTCTTTCTGCCACGACCAGGTAGCGTTTCAACAGTGCCCTTTGCCTTGAATTTGCGAATGATGCTTCCTAAGGTGTCTCTTGGTATGTTTAACATCTTTGCAATCTTCTTATAGCCATTGCCCTTCCTGTGAAGAGAAATCACCTCTTCTCTTGTCTTCCTGGACCATTCTCTTGCCTTCACCATGTTTGTAACCACACCAGTAAATGTCTAGAAGGAGCTGAGTATCACAGTCATTTTAAAGCTGCCTAATTGGTGCTTATTATGCTTGATTGCTGCTCGGTGACATCCACAGGTGTTTTCAATACCTGATGGAAAGCACCTGTATGAACCTCTGTTCTTCAGAGTGGTAGTCTTTAAGGGGTTGAATAATTGTGGCAATGAAGAAACCACATAAGAACCATTTACTACTGTATTACATAAACAATTGATGTCATTTTAGTTGCATTTGGGTAGTTACAACGTCCTTGTAGGATTTGATTCTGAATACAATTCCAAATGTACACTATAGTCCCTAAACCCCTTTACAGCATTGGGGGTTGAATAATTTTGGCCACAACTGTATATAAACAGAATAAATAACACATTGTTGTCTGTGCCATGACAGAAGACTAAAACTCTTTCAGACGGCACTTGTAATTACTTATAAGAATGGTTGGCAAGATGCAACCTAACCAGATTTTCCAACATCCAGATTAAGTTAGTAGTAAAGTCATGCTATCTAAAATCATTTGACAGGCAGAGTTTTTATAACAGGTATATGGTCTCTTCTGTCATATACTGTATCTCCCCCTTGCCTGTAAGCAGGTAATATGATTTGAGCCACACATACGCAGCTTAGATCACATTTACAATCCACTTTGCTTGTCGCAACTATGTGACTCCCGTGCGCATGAGTAGGAGTGGCATCGCCGCAGCCTGGTCATTCAAGTGGCTGAAGATACAAAACCTGGAAGAACACGGGCGAAGATGGGGGAGCCGTGACAGCGCTGCGCTGGAGGGCTCTGCTTGCAGGTAAGTCTGTCATAATGTATTAGTATGCAGTGCATACTAGTACATTATAAGTTAAACCTGCAGGGGGACCAGATTTTTTTATTCTTTTAGCTGTGGCTTTACTACCGCTTTACGGATGCCTGTAGATATACAAATTCAAATTTTCACTAACATCTTACCTTTGCCTCATTAATGGGATGTTGATACAGTTAGCAGCAGCAACAGCAGCAAAAGGAACAAATCTTCCTATAAGTGGTGAAACATGCTAAAAAAAAAAAAAAAAAAAACAGAGATAGGAATTTTCTTGTTAAAAACCTATATAGTTTAGATTATGTTGTGTAATAACCACATGCAGAGTAGAATTTATGCTTTATAATTCAATGTGTGTATAGTCAAATTCATTGCTATTTTATTAAACAAGAAGGTCTCAAATATGTTCACACTGTAGAAAACAATTCCTGTACAGCAGGAGCCCCTCTGGAAAATGAGATGACAAAGCTAGTTTATAAGAGACCTGCTTGCTCATTATAAGGCTCAAGTTCAGGGAATCTAGCCCACTAGAGGTTTTAGAGGGTACGCTTTACCCTGAACATGCAACCCCACTCATTCCTATGTGGAAAGCTCTAATCCATAGGACTGGTATAGGCTACCACTGAAAAGTCTCTCCAAAGGAATAATGGGGCTGCTGTGCGCTTGCACAGGATGAAGAGGACCCAGTGGGGTCATTTTTGGAAGAAAGTCTGTGCGGCTCCAAGAAGGGCCACAAAGTGAAGTTCCCTCGAACAGAGACAGAGGTAAGCATTAAACCAGGTGAGTTGCACTCGGGGGTGGGGGGTGACCATATTTTAAAGGACAACATATCAAAGGTACAGCTGTTCTGTAAGCACTATGGGTTTTGAAGGTCTCCATGCTTCTTATGCAAAGGTAAGAAAAATACACATCTTTCACGTATCTGTGCAAAAATCAAAACATGATAGGGCAATGTAATGCCTACAACAATTACACCTCAGCAGATAGGACAGTGAAGAAAGGTCTGCAATTGTTTGAAATTTACAAAAGTACTTTGCACATTTCGCTTTACCTTATTAAATAGGATTATATGTTAATTTTAATATATCCTATTGGCTCTCATTTGAGGCTGTCATGAGCCAGTGTGTGCTTCAACCATGTGCAACATGCAAGATATAGCATAATACTAAAACACATTCCTGTATAAAGCAAAATTATAATGGTTTTGGCTCAGTTTTGGATACTTGTTAACCCTATTTGAAAGGATAAGTTCACCTTTTGAAAAAAAAAAAAATGCATATTTTTTATAAATATATATTTTTTTTTGCAGGTAAAAAAAAGTGAATTTAATATCTCTTTTTCTAGGGAACCTGCACAGCATTGCACTCGCGATCATCAAATTGTGGATGCAATCCCAGGCTCCTGCAGACTCGCAGCATAGCACGCTGCCCGTACCTCATGTGGGCAGACAAGTTACTTCGGACCAAGATCAATGGACTACAAGAGTGCTCACCAGCGCCCTCATAGTTCACTGAGAACTACAAGCTGTCAGCCGCAATGGCTAATGGTACTTGCTGACATTCATTCACAGGAAAAAAGGTGAGGCTGCAGGTGCTGAAACCTGTTACATGTTCATCCCTAAAAACGTGTGAAACATGTAACATGTTCCAACAGTGAACTTGCTTTAAATCTTTTTTTTTTTAATTAATTTTTATATAAAATCATTAATAATGAGTGCATTAATGGCACGGATCGACTGAGAATTGTGGATTTTCTAGAGGGAGATAAACATGTTTTCTTTGATTCTCTCCCATTGAACAAACCTTGTGCAAAGCAGGTACAGAAGGGGAGGGAGGATGAGAAATGTTTCTGACTCATTCACTTATGTGTGCAAAATGCAGCTTGAACTACTGTGCTCTATAAACCAAGTTGTTTTTTTTCCAAGCAAGGTTAGAATAGTTCTTACTGACACAAAGCAACTTATGATCTCTAAAATTATAAGATTGTGTACTGGGCAGCTGACAGGTGTATAGTCTTCTACGCAATCTGTTTTCAGGCTGTAACAAACTTCAATAAGCAAGAAGAAATTCTCCCAGCACATCATTGTGTAAAATATTCATCTATAATATTTCAATAAATTTAATTTACAATAAAATATTAAATTATGGATTTAGTAGTACAGCAACAATGGTTGAACTAAATTCAGATAATCTGTGCTAGTTTATAGTTCTAGTTTATCACAAGCAAATTTTACAATACTTTACAGATTGTATTAAATATAAATCTAACCAGTTCTTGTACTTACCACAGACGTCCAATTTTGAAAAGGACTGATTAATGCTAAACTCAAGTTATATACACAATTTAAATATTTATTCATAACTCTGTCCATCTATTTCTGAGATTTATACAGCCCCTCACACAGCACTGCCGGGTGGATAAAACCACTCACAATTAAAGTAGAGCTATAGGCAAAACCTTTTTTTTGTTTCCATTCTGCATAGAGTAAGGGAGGATTAGTTTGTCCCATCGCTAAAACAGGAAGTGAGAAAAAAAATCCCTGCAAAATTAAGGGAATGTCTTGTAGACCCCCAGGTCACCATAACTAGTGTCCCCATTGGAAGATTTCCCATCTATTACTTTTCTGGGGACAACCCACAATTTGGGGTTTTATTTTACTTTCACTTCTAATGATAATGGTAAGTGGGAGAAAGAGAGATGGTGAATCTCCCTAACGGGGACACAGACAGCAATAAAAACGTAAAAGGTGCTCTAATCGATCCCCTCTATCCAAAACGAAAAAAAAAAATGTGGCCTTGGGTTATACATTAAGGAACACAGTTGTGCCCTATCTCTATACCCAGCTTTCTGACTGGACAGTGAAAGTGTAAGGCAGACTAATGTGGCCATTCCCATCTTCACTCCTTCTATAAGCAAGTTCCCTGTAAACATATCAGAATGCAGCACACCTTATTGGTTTCAGTGCTGATCCTCCATCTGCTGCACAGCGGACTGTAAAATGCTTATACCAATTCAAATTCAGGTGCTTACACTAGTTTTAGAAAATACATTTAATGGTTTATGAATGAATACAAAGTTGCATTAATTCATGACTTTTATATCTGCTTGTGCTGGTCCACAGTTCAGCTTCAGTGCTCGTCCACATATACGTGCATTGGATGCGGTTTGAACATGAAAAAGCATTGCTACCTGTTCATATATGTCCAATGCACTGGCATTGCAGATTCAGTGCGATCTGAAAAAGAGTCATGTATAATTTCTGAGCAGCACGGTCTGGGTTAGGTAGGGATTACAGGCTAATGCCTTCTATGGGAACCGTTTCTAAACTGCATGTGTGAACAGAATATGATCCTGAGCTAATCCTGTCCTGAACCTGATGTAAACCTGACATGAACCGGTGAACAACTACGGTGTCAATTAGCTGTGAAACCTGAGCTTCATACCGCACCGCATGTATTAATCAGCTCTATATTTTAGGACATGCAGAGAAAATTTTAGTGAACATGCAGAGGACAGAGAAAACCAGACCAGGGAAAAAGAAACAATCCTTGCACTTTGCATGTCATATGAACAAAAATGCACAAAATCGGCACAGACAAATATGGTTGTGAATGGAAACCCAGAGAGTATCATGGCATGAGGCAGATCCCTCTTAAAACAGGTAACAACGTTATCGAAAAGTTTTTAATAGAAAACATTTAGCCTGTTGGGTGGACAATATGTAGCCAAGCAGAACAAGTAGGAATTGACTTTAATGTTGAACTTCTGACGTGCCCATCTCAAAAATATAAAAGCACAGATGCAGTGCTTAAAAGCAGAGCTCCACCCATTTTGACATCTTCCTTGATCACAATGCCCATCCGCAGTACAGTGCTAAATGGATATTCATATTCATCATTTTTTTTCAAATAAATACCTTTTTTTTTAAAAAAGGTATTTTGACAGCAGTTCTGGTCCTGGCCGCCTAGAGCGATTACGTCGTTAGGCAATTCCCTTGGATTCTTGGGATATAGACGTCAGGCCTCGTTGGGAAACCTAATAGTGTATTGTGGGGCTCTATCTTTTTCCCCGACTGCACTTCCCTCTGCTCTTTTCGACACACAGTGTTGTGTACAGGTTGCTATACCAATGGGGAGGGGGGGGGGAATGGGGAACTTCCACCGCCTACATTGTTGTAGCAACCTGTTGACAACACTGCACACTATCACTAGTGCGCATGCACAGGATCAGGATGTGCATGCTGGGTAAATATTAAAATAAGTGATGTAGCGCCAACACCAAAAAAAACTGCATGAAATACAAATGCACATGAAAATTATAAATATATCAAAACTGCATATATTTGTGACATAAAACAAAGTGAAAAAAAATATATAGTGACAAATCCTATTAAGTTCAGCCTATGGGCTGTAAAACCGAAACATACACCATGATCTCTCAAGCATCAGGAATAAGTGAAAAAGAATGATGTGATCATGAAACAGGCAAGTGAACTCAAGTAATCACACTACTAAATGTGTGAAATGATCCCAATGGGATCTATAAATAATATAAATGTGCAAAAAATAGTCCAAATGCGACTATTGCATAATAGTGCCCAAAGAATGACCCTAATAGGGTCTAAAGTGATAGTAAATGAAAAAGTCCAAATGGGACCACTATAACCAGTGTATCCAAATAAAGACAATCAGAAAACGCATGTGTACACATACAAATAAAAAAAATAAAACAAATAGGCAAAAATGCAAAACCAGTGTCTAACAATACCATACATAAAACGCATGCGTGATGGTGCTTATATATTATCACAAACGTGAATATCATAAATAATCCAGGAACAACGCATGTTCCTTTAATGCAGATAGAAAAAAGTCCAAAATGGTGTTTAAAACACCTATTTCTTCCAAATATGACAAACAACCGTGAAAGTGGGTAATGACACGTATCCACAGATAGCTGTATTACACGCTCACCTCCTTGCCTCGACCCGCTAGGGGTCAAAACGCTTTTGGATCACTACACTGGATCCTCCATGCAAGAGACTCCTCTGGGATCACGTCCCTCTCTCCACAGTGGTCTCCCCCTCAAGGACAGGCTAAGTGGTAATACAACTCCTCTCCAGGCAGGTACGCAAGATATGGCCAGTTATCTCATTAAAACACAAGTAAAAACTTCCATAGCATAATACTGTTTATTATGTAAAGGAGTCAAACTAAAATCTTCCAATATAGGAGC